CCTACCGGTCAAAATTTTTATAAGAATGACCGGTCAACCGGTCGGTCCGGTCCGGTCTGCATATGTTCACCGGTAACCGGTGACCGGCCGGTACCGGTTATGATTTTGTTGACCGGTTGCATCTCTGGTGTCTACCATTTCCCAGTGAATAGTCAAGAGTCGTGATTATATCTCAATACAGTTGGTAGTGTATCAGTATAGAATTCCATTTTAATACAATTTCTGCGCTTTTTGCTGGGTCGATACTTCAACGAAGACTTGCCACTACTCGACCACATTATGGAAAAGAATAATAAGTCCTATGCTAAAGCATTTTGATCCAAGCTGGAGTAAAAAAATGCTCGTCACTGTTATTGCTTACACTATCAGCATCTATTTAGCATCTTTATAAGGTCATTAATAATGATAATAACATTTCTTTTTGTGAAATTTGATTGATTTAGTTTCAAGCTATTAAGCAATTGTTATATTTTTACCTGGATATAAGAACTGTCGCAACAGCTCTCATACCACTAGAGCTTCGTACAAACTTCGCTCAACATAGTAGTCAGGACTTATTATTCTTTTCCATAATGTGGTCTTCGTTGAAGTATCGACCCAGCAAAAAGCGCAGAAATTGTATTAAAATGGAATTCTATACTGATACACTACCAGCTGTATTGAGATATAATCCCGACTCTTGACTATTCACTGGGAAATGGTAGACACTAGATGGGCTATTTTTAAAAAACGTTTGATGTAACATGAAGAGAATTGTACGAGGTTTATGAAAAGCTGAACTTGTTCGTGAGCTGATTGTCAATTAAGCTTCTAATTAATTTTTTCTTTTAATTTTAAAGAACGAAAGACCGTTCAAAAACAACAGTATTCATATTCTCTACAGGAGACGATGAAAATACACTTTTTCTATCCGGTTTTTACATATATGATAGAGCTCATGGTTCTCAACAATTGTACCGTTCAGTATGGTATCAAAATCGGTTTCTAAAAGGCAGCAGAAGTTGTTTTCTGTCTATCCCGTGCGATTTGCACGTACTGTCCCGAATTACCCCATGCAAAATAGCTGAGTGTCCATAATTACCCCAAACAAGAAAACTGAAAAAAACGACTATGTTCGTTCATTTTCGTAATTTCTAATTAATTAATCAAGGATATGTCCAAAGGACTAGCAATTTACAAGGTAGATAGAGCTCAAAATTCTCTACAAGATGGTATAATTTTTAATTAGAAAGGTAAACCTTTGCCATTGACAAAAAGTTGTTTTACTTTCTTCCAGCCATTTTTGCTGGACTGTCCCGAATTACCCCGACATTTGATAGGAGCTCTTTGGAAATTGATGAGTACTAATTAGTCTTATTGAATTTTAACAAGATTTTTACATTAATAGATAGAGAAATGTTCCGTCTATCTACCTGCGAAGTGTCGTTTTTTTCCGAGTAAAAATGCTTCAGGTACGCTCAAAATACTGCGAAAATTAGAGAAGCTGTCCCGAATTACCCCAAGTTACTCTATAGCTCTGCTCGCCTTGCACGTTTTATATCTGCTCTTGATATTTTACTTTTATTAATATTCCTTGCAGGTTTTGAATAATCCACAATTCATTAGTGATCATAGTAGGATTACGTGCTGCTATGGTGCTACTGACGTTCTACAAGAATGGATGCTACCACGATGCAGGATTGTTGAACATCCAGGATAATGGATTCTAGTATAATGCCTCGCATCCTACTACGATTATAGAACAACGGATCCCACTTTAACACAATACCTATAGCTCATCCCAGCACAATGGATTTCACTCTAATGCTGCATTCATAGTGCGTCTCATCACAATGGACTCTCATGAGATGCGGCATCCTAGTATAACGGATTCCAATATGATGCAGCATTCTCCTAGTATCCTGAAAATTTTGGATTCCACCTTGATGCGGCATCCTAGAGCAATGGATTTTAGTATGATGCGGCAGGCCTTTCGCAGCATTCAAAATTTCTTTTGTTATGGCACCCCTGCGCAGCGCTGCCAAATCGAAAAACGCTGGCAGGGGTGCGCAGGCCCCTGCCAGTTGTTTTTTTAGGATGCCGCATCCTTTTTTTTTATAGGGTTGCTATCGATAAACTTTCGAATACCTAAATATTGACTTTTAAGAAGTTTTAGAACAAAGGAAATTTGTTTTTCTTAGTATTGTCTAGGGAACAGAGTGCGATAAAATAAGTCTTTAAAAGAGGTTTTCGTGATCTAATTTCTATTTCCAAAGTTAATTTGGCATTTTTTTCTGAAGTGGTTGCTAGCGAAATTTTTGCGATCGGATCTCGAGATGTACTTTACTTTCCATCTTCATTCTTGACTACAAGAATAAAGAATGTTTCTCAAAGACACGCGTGTGAGAGGCTGTACACCTAGCCAGGAACAAAAATTCACCAAACAATTTGTCTTAACATCCATGAATTCTTATGTAGCGATTTATATATAAAAGAATAAAAAGCAAAAAGTTTTAACATAGAAGGATCTCTTAAAAAGAAAGTGTCTGTTAAGATAGTTGAAACACTGATTTCATCATGTTTTACCCGGTTTTCTCTTCGGGAACATGATGCAATTAAAGTGTAACATCTACAGTAAACATCGATTCAATCTATACACAGTAAAAATCCTTAGATTTTATGCATTTTTCGAAAAACAAGATCCATTTTGGATATTGAGAATGCATGAAGAAAACTTTCAGCTGTGCGACAGTAAACTAGCAAGGATTTATGTGATCTCATTCTCTCACTCGCTGGAACTGTTGTGTGCGTGCTCACTTTTAGATTAGTTATTTAATTTCACTTTGAAAATCTGAAAAAGCAGATATAAACTGGAAAAATCTCAAGTATAAAGAAATAAGTGCCTTAGAACTGTTTTTCGTCTCGTTTAGAATGAGAAAAATGTAGATATCTTCAATCACACACGTGTCTGTATAAATGTGTATCTCTATATAAATCGGTTCACATTGAAAATTGTTAGAAAAGTATATATGCGTTTATCAGAAATCCTTCGTGTTGAATATATATAGAAACAAACACACGTGTCATATAGATTAGTATGCCCTAATTGTGACAAGAGAGTACTTTCAATAAAAAAGTGTTTCAAATTTTCAATGTGAATTTTGAGCACTAACAAATAAAGAGATATCTCTTTTCACATAAGATATCCCGTGTGCGGACATTTTTTTTTCTCAGCGCGTCGATTGAGACGAAAGAGAACAGAAAGATATGCAGTGCGAAAAGAGATATTTTCGTATTTTCTAGTGCTCTAATATATACTAACAATATGAGTGTTTTTCACACATCGCTTTTACTTCGCACATTTACTTATCGCTTCGTTCCAATATGGTAGATAAAAAACAAGATATAAAAGAAGACTTGGCATCTTTTAAAGATGCAAGTGACACAGCCAAGCAGTTATTCGTAAGTAAAAGTTTCACTTGTCGATAAAAGCCTTCCGATGGCCATGTACCCGTAAGATGATTTAAAAATAACTATCTAGCGCAATAAGGAGATATCTTTTCTCGCATATTCACAACATATATCTTTCTGTTGTAAGAACATGAAAAAATCAGTTCAACATACTTTTCACTCACCGTTTTACTCTCTTACTTTTATTGCGTCTGTGGATTCATTCTTCTTTCATTTAAATCGATCTGGGACTTCGGATTACTTTCTTTCACTCCTCGGTAAATTAGAACAGTTACTTTTCTCTCAAAGAAGATCTGATGAAACACAACTTGAAATGATTTATGTCTCACTGTCTTTATTTTCGTTTGTTATTCACAGTTACTTTGATCCTTTTCCAGAATGCAGAGATGCCACAAAGGAAATATATGCTTTAAGCATCTAATAGATATGATTCATATAGCCGTCAAACAATCCCAGGTCCAATAGACACAGCCGTAAACGACCGTATACGGCCACGTACGGCGATATACATTAGCCGTATACGGCGGTCGTATTACGACAAAATACGGCGGTTTACGACTGCCGTATACGGCGAATTTCCTGCGACCTGTGTTCCTTGGAATTCCATCGCAAAATGTATTCTTATAAGTTTTCCGATATGAACTAGTGTTCTTTATGTGATCAAAATGGCATAAAAATGTTCTTTTGATCAACTACCCAGGTCGAAAAAACGGTTAACGTCTAGTTAACTGCACAAAAAACGGCGCGTTAACGTTCTCAAAACAGCAAAAAACCGGCGAGTAAACAGCCCGTTAACGGGCACTTGGTGGCCAATCTCTCGGCGGCACCTTACAATTTATTTCCACTTCAGCAAACTATGATTACTATACTATATAGGGAAGTTTGACGGAAGCTGTGGTAAGATATTTTCATAGATGGGAGCCCACGTGTAGAAATTCATGGTATTTATTGCAAACATGAATAGCAAATTCACACTTTTGTTTACAAGCAATATGGTATAATCAGAATGTGCTGGATTTATAATTCTAGGTACGTGTGCTCGAATCTCAATCCTGGCACCCAATTATAATTGTATGTATGTGAGTGGTAAGTGATATTCAAGACGATACAACGCATGGGTGACGTCCTGAAGCTCTGTATACATCTTCTGTAGAAGATGCTGGAAACGAAAAATAATTTTTTCTAAATTGACCGTTAACGGTCGTAAACGGTCACGGCGCAGTTACGGCCGTCGTATTTACGGTGTAGTTACGGCCGTTTACTGCTGTATTTGCACCGTATACGGCCGTTTATGATACAAATACGATCGCAAACGGTGATTTACGGCGGTCGTTTACGGCAGCCGTAAACTTGGACCTGGGATATTATCATTATTGCTTACTCTCTTTTAACTATTTTAGCATGATTCAGTACAAGGGGGAATCCGACGGCTTCTCGATGGCCTGACAATCTGCTGGACGGATCCCGCCACGACCGTCGAGCAGAAAAGAGCCCGCTGTGAACAAATAGTAGAGGAAATTGGTACTGCATATCAAACAATGGAACGGATGAAAGGTAAAGTTTATAGTGCAAAAAAAAGATAAAAAGTGTAAGTTTCTTACTATTTAAATTATACATAATGGATGGGGATTTTATCATTTTTTATCATCGAATATAAAATTAGGCAAAGAATGCGGACAAAATGGATGTACAGTCGATTTATTTGTATGTTCAAATAATTATCTTGATTTAGCTGTTATTGGAGAAGTTTGCCGAGTATCTGGTGGACAGTTGTATAAATTTCTCGGTTTGTATAATGTTCAAAAGAGTTTTAAATGTCAGTCTCACTTTATGATATATCTTTTTAGTTGAAAACGACGATGAACGGTTATTAAATGAATTTGTTAGCGTGTTATAGAAAAAATTGTGCACGATTCAACAGCCGGACAGTTAATATTACCTGAAGCATTAAAACTTTTGTCGATTTATGTAACAGCATTAATCAAATGTGATCCATTAATTGGAAGTTTGTTAAGACATGTGAAATATCAATTTCTTTAGAAATATTGTTTTTCTATTTTAAGCTCAAACGCGGACGACAGACGATCGGAGTTGACTCATGCACAAAATAATGGTCATGGATGTTAACCCTTTCCAGGCGGCTGTTTCGAAAACACAGCAAAAAGTGTTGCCAAATGCAAACATCAGGCTGGAAAGGGTTAAATCAACATTTGCATATTTATGTCCAAGAATATTTGCACTAGTAAATACAATCATAGCTCAAAATTTCTGCGAACCATCAAAAATTACTCGACAAACTTCTCCGATAGTAGCGAAATCTAGATAATTATTTGGAAATACAAATAAATCTTGTAATTATCTTGTTTAAGAGTATATATGTGTGTATAGAGGTACATTTTGTGTACATTCTTCGCCTAATTTTGTATAAAAATTGTCACGGGAAGATTATCTACATCAAAAAAATTATATTTTAATAAATTTATATTAAAACAAATATCAAAATTTTTTCGCACATATAGTTTGAATATAGCCTGGAACAATTAGAATATACACAAAAACAACCAACCGCTAGTAATCAGTTTTTTATGCCCTTTTCTTAGTTCGACAGCTTCCGATTTATGATGCAGCGATGCAGAATTTTTTGGAGAATTTATTGATGTCTTTTGTTTTAATCCATAACGCTTTTCTTGCTCGACATGGTTCTTAAACAGATTTATAGGCGGGAAAGTCTTGAAAATGAGTCCACTCTAATACTTCATATGTTTTGCTGAAGAAACTAAATTAATTTCTCAAACAAATATACAGTTTTGCAGAGAATTAAACTCTTTTACATCTTTTGATTATAAAACGAGACTTTGAAATACTGCTTCAGTTAGAGAAGTTTAGCTGTCAAAAGTGTTCAGTTATTTCTATGTCACTGGATATATATTCCTGCAATAAACAGTTTAAAATCTCGGATAACTTACCGCTAATTGTCAGTGCAGATGCAAATGACGGTTTATATTCAAAATGTTCAGTAACAGCAACTACAGTTGCCACCAGTACTAGTAAATTACCAAACGAATAACAGAAACTCATTGTCAAATATAATATTTTTAATTTTCGAGCAATGACATTGAGGTGATAAATCCTAAATCGAAGACAATACAAATATTGTACATATGAACTATTCATCATTCTGCTATGTTACCTCCTAACATTATTGTCTTTCTATAGCCTAAACGTGTAGTTAATATCGATACAATAGGTCCAATAAGACAGGGTACAGAATTCATCATCGATTGTACCCATGCTAAAGGTGATGAACCTTCATTTGTAAATTCCGCTGTAAGAGCAACAAACAATATTGAAAAAACGCTTGTTAAAGCTTCGCCTATATAATACGTTAAAAAACCGGCTATCAATATGATTCATGACGATGAAGACTGTCCTTGAATAAATTCTTGTTCTGCGGCGAATGATTTTGATGAATGGTGACGAATGACACGACAACAGATACTACAACGACGACGACCATCATCATTAATTTTAATTGCACGTTTGATAATTGATTTTTATCCTCGACTAATTATCTATCTAAAATTTAAAATTAACAAGATAATATTAACCAAACAATATTAGATCATAAAATTATCTTGTTTATTTATCAATGTATCCAACGAAATTACTCTGGTTAAGTTAATCAGGGTAATATCGTTAGATACATTTTTTAAATTCCTTTTCCTCGCTAAGAAAAGTTGACTTTACTGGGAAAAATCAAAATTTTGACTCTAATTCGCAGTTTTCTCCATCAGAACTCAACTTTCATGCAGTGAAAATATCATATTCGGAATCAGAATCGAAAATCGAGTCGAATGGTGTACTTTTTTTTATCTTATTTGATCACTTCAATTTTTTTTGAATTTTAGCGTCGGAGAATTACTGAGATTTTCATCAAAAAATGAAAATGAAAGAAAAAATTTGCAATATATATCATTCAACTCGATTTTCGGTTCTGATTCCGAATATGATATTTTCACTGCGTGAAAGTTTACTTCTGATGGAGAAAATTGCGAATTAGGGTCAGAATTTTAAGTTTTCTCAGTAAAGTCGACTTTTCTTAGCGAGGAAAAGGAATTTAAAAAGAACTCTCCATTAGTTTGTTGCCCGTTTCAAGGCGGTTCTAATGGTGTATGAATCAAGGGTATAGGTCTTGACCGAAAAAAACTTAATGTGCGCTCAAAATGAGTGACTGGTTCTCGGCCTCTGAAAGTTTGGATGTCGCTGTCAGATGAGCGTTTACTTTACCGGAGAAGTTCTAGACACATTTTCATGATTTAGTTTTGAACGCTGATTCAGAAAAAAAATTTTCAGAACTTCATTGTGTAATACGCCTTCGAAAATAACTTTTACTATAGAGGTCCTTTTTTCTCGGTTTTGACACCATCTCAGTAATTTGAGATTTTCTCCTCGAAGAAAAGGTTTTTGAAATTTCCGACGGTGTTTCCGAAATCAGCTCGATGAAATGAATCTAAATGTGTAATCAAATATCAGAAAAAAGAATTCACTCGAATTTTGAATTAGCTGAACCTTATTATATCGTATGCATTTGAAATTATTTTATTTATCTTCTTTCTTAATTATTCTTCTTGGGCTAGTTTTTCTATTACTAAAACCATTGCAAGTAACTTACTTGCAAAGTTCGAGGTTCTCATTAAAAAAGTCCAGCACAAAAATGCATCAGAAAACAATTTTTACTTCCTAATTTTTGGTAAGGCTCAGCCTAACGGAGTCAAAACTTGGTAAGGCTCAAGCCTTATCACGCCTAGTGGCTCCGCCGCCACTGTGTATTAATGTTTCTCTTTGTAATTAAATGTTCTTATGTAAAATCTTGAAAATCTGTTTCTTGCAGAGAGACTAAGTGCTATCCATTTTTCATCATACCAACAAGATCTATTAAACTGGTGTGTAAATATCTTTTTAGTTATCTAATTTACAAAGAAAAACGTACAAACTTTGATCTATAATACGACGAAAATAAAATATGAAGAGATTCTTGAATACACGAAAAGATAATCATATATAAATATAAAATAAAAATCGATAAACAAAATTCAATATATACAAAGTTGAACAAGTAGACAATATCAGCAGAAAACCTACTAAAAAGCGCAATAAATTTTTGAGGTTAAAATGAAATCAACGGAATATAATAAAAAGTGAAAACAATAAAAGTAGACGCTGTTCTCAATCTTGGCTAAACAAAACAAAGAAAAAAAAAATCTCTAAAAACAAGAGGTTATCTATTTCTTCTTTTTCAATCTTGCTGATCGTCTCTTAGCACCACCATTGCTACTACTTGGACTTGCTCGGCGTTTTTCTCCACGAGATCGTTCTGTTATAAATACATCTGTAATATAAAAGAAACATATAATTGCTGTGTATATTTTCTATACTAAAATAGTTGATTCTATCAAAATTTCCTTAATACATTGAATTTATTTTTGATAATTAACTATCACACGTTAAAACCTGTGTTTTTGAACTAAGTTGTTTTATAACTTTATTGATTTATAGCAGAAAAGGCCAGCGACAAGGTCATTTTAGGCCTAACGTTTAACAATATGTATTGAGATAACAAGGGCAAGTAGATTGAAATCAGAGGGGAAAGAAAGAGATAACAGTAACAATCAAATATAAAAATGAAAAAGATAAACGATAAACTATAAATGACAGGTCCTTGAGATATGGTGAATTTATGGCTTATAAATAGATTTAAAAAGAATTAGATATGCTGCTAGTTTCCGAATCTTTTTGTTTCGCAAATATAAGAGTTCACAGCCCAAAAAACAGATGCTGTCTCATCCTCGCTCCTTCCAATATTATTAAGTAGTAGTGTGTCCAAGGTAAACGTTTTTAACAAATTTAGTTTTTGCTACAAAATTATTCTTGCATTATTATTCATTCAATAGACAATTAAGAAAATAGTGTGCAGCATCCTCTCTAACATTCCCACATACACACTTAGGCGAATCTACACATTTGTGTTTAAATAAATAATAATTAAGTGTTGGAAAGTTTGATTTTATCCTCAAAAATAAAACTTCTGCTCGATGTGTCAAAAATTTTAACGAAGTTTGTTTTACAGCTGCTTATTTAGTCATAGAAAACGTCAAACTTGAATCAGTCCTTAGCGCATAGTTCTTGAAGCTACCATTCTGTAAATTTTCTCTCAGTACAGTTGAAGACAAACATTACCGAAATAATTATGTAATTCGATCTTCAGAGGTGAGAACTGCACACAGCACGTATCGTAAGAGTCGGTTGAAGTTACTTTTCTGTGATTAAATAAGCAGATACAAACAAAATCATCGTATGTTTGTTAAAGTCCGTCTAACAGACTTTTAAAAATAATCAATATGAAGAATAAAAGAAAAAATTGGTAAAAAAAAAAGTCAAACAACTTACTTTCATCATTATCATTATTCCATAGTTTTCTCACTGTACGTTTTCTAAACGAAAATAAAATATTGTTGAAAGTTCTTCAGTAAACGATTAGAAAAATAAAAAGACGGTACTTTTTATCTTCGCCTATTTTTGATTTCATTTTATACTAGAATTAAAATAAAAGTATATTTATGATTAGAAATCAGTTGAATAATCTATTTTTAATTAAAAATGTTTTCCAGCGAATAAAATAGCATCTACTTACATCGTCAAATTGTTTTTCTAATTGTTCATTTATTTTTTTCAATTTTTCATTTTCTAATCGTTTTTCATCAAGTTTATTTTCATATTCAATTACTCTTTCTTCTATCTCATCTTGTAGTTTTTCATTTGCTATTTCTTTTTCTTCAATTTCCTCTTCTAATTCTTCATTCATCATTGTCTTTTGGTCAATATCCTCTAGTAATTGTTCATTTTCATTTTTTAATTCTCGCAATTGACGTGTTGATCTTTTGTATAATTCAAAATAGGACGATGGACGGATTTGATAACGAAATTTGATTTCATCATTGACTAGAAAACCATCAACTGCTAATCGATTCAATGGATAGAATCTAGAAAAAAGAAGACAACATAATGACAGTCTAAACACAAGGATTTCTTGCTTTTCAGTATTATTCTCATAGCATAGTCATTCATTTATTCTAATACTTACTCTTGCCAACCACCGTGACGATTATTTATAAACATATATCCAAACGCTCTAAGAATATGATTTTTGCTTGATGAATTTCGTTGATTAATCATTTCAATAGAAAAATCATATTTAGATATTACACCAGGTGTTACTAACCACATATAGGCTGATAAATGTGTGCCAAGTTCATTCTGTAAACAAAAAAAAGTCAGTCTAACCCCGATTGCCCTTTGTATTTAGACATACTTGCCGTATTAATTCTTAATCTCCATAGTTCATCATTTACTCTTAATGGTGCACAGTAGACTGGTGAATGCGTTTGATCATGTAAAAATACTGTAAAATTATTTAGAATAAATTCACCAGTTATAAAGGGTGGACGTAGTTCGCTAAAATGAGGGAATGTACAACTAGATCGATGGTTATATAAACAGATACCATGTCTTAAATTACCTTTGTAAATAACTGCTAGTAGTAGCCATGGAAAATAGTGTGTGTTTTGACCATTCAAGAAAACCTGAAATTTAAAAAGAAACAAAAATAAAAAATCATATCTTAAATGCAACTTTACTTCAGAAAATGGTTACTGATGTGCTAACATCATTCTGATAACCAATCACAAGATACATAAATAAACCATAATTTTTCATACTATAAGTGCAAGTGAGAAAATATGCTTATATCGTGTATTTTTCAGTATTTTATAAATTCAAATTCATTGGATGAAAATTTTGAGTTAAAAAACAAAACTAAACAAGATGTTATTCTCGATTATTATTTTATTTTTTTGTCGTATTACAGTTGTCAGAGATATTTATTATTCTGCACTAAAGAGGACTCTTCAATAGTATTTATCTCGATAATCGTAGCTTCTACAAATAGACTGAAAACAGAAAATAAATTCCCATTTTGTTTCTTTCTCAACTCAAAACATTCATCTAGTGAATTTGTTGTATCTAAAGAAGAAAAAAATACACGATATAACCACATTTTTCGATACTAAAACCTATGACGACCGTGGTGGTAGGGTCAATATCATCACACGAGTTCTGTATCCCGCTCTACTCATCTGAATATTTTCGCGATCTTCTTTTGCTTTCTTCTTCACTTGAATGGAGCGTTAGGAATCAAATTGAAACCAATTACATGATCATTTGCCTTATTTAACTGAAAACAGATAAACAGTCTCTGGCGAACACCTTCTAGAAATAAAAAGGGACTTCAAGCTTGACTATTTTCGTAGAATCAGTTCGATCTATACGTATGCTAGGGACATCTTATTCGTTTTCTTTCTATCTCATCTACCCATCAAACGATGATGGTCAGGCTGCGATGAAGTGTCCCTAGTTTGGAGTAAGTTCAGTCCGACTCTCACTTTAACAGTATGAAATCTTATTCGTGGCCACAAACGTATACAAAAGAATAACTAAACTTTCTCGCTAAGGCCTTCTCCGGACTACACTCTTTTCTCACTTAAGTATTAACTTAAGTCATGTCGAGCATACGACTTAAGTTGGAATTAACTTTTACATCCAATACGGTTACGAGTTCTCGCTTAACTTTTGTAGTCTGGATAAGGTCTTAATTATTTAAATTATTCCTTATTTTATTGTTATAATCAATTTTTTCTAGAAATATGTTAATTTTTTATTTTCTGAATTTTTAACTTCTTGCTACATCTTTAAGATTTTCTTAAATTTTAAAAGTGTGTTCAGCCAAAAATGATCGCAGATTCGAACTCTCCATAGTCGGTTACCTTCTGGGTTTGTAATGCTCCTCTTTTTCTCGTCTTTTCTTTGTAATCCAAGACCTCTCCTCTTTCTCCTTTTTTTGAGCTAATTTTTCTCTTTTCCTGCTTTTAGCAAAAATACCAGAATTCACGCTATTTTTAGATCTGAAAGTAATGTCAGATATATTTTTTTATCAATGCCGTCATATGGAACAAAATTCTATCACTCATGATTACAGAAAACAGTAGATGAAGACCATGTGATGCAATGGTCAATAGTACAGGATATGAAGAAAGATAAATACCATGAAAAAATCAGAGTTAAAAGAAAATATCACCTTTGTTTCTCCAACATCCTTGTCTGATACAGCCACAACTTCATCACAAAGTTGAACAGTCAAATAAAAAACAGAATTTATCTCAACAACAATCAAAAAATAAATGATAAGAAGAATGTTCAATAGAGAGAATTTGTTTTTTGATTAGTTTAACAGTAAGCGATGCTATTTGAGCAGGCAGATATGTTTCTGTATTAAACTAGAATAACTCCTTTTTGCTGTGTTTTTCTTAGTTTTTTACTCCTGAAACACGAAAAAAAATACTTTAAGTAGAATGAAATTTTTCATGAAAATTGAAATGAGCTCGGTGACGCCTTATTTTCCTCAGGAATGTTTACTCTAACTAAACTATTAATACAAAACTACCGATAAAAGCTAGGATATTTGAAAGTAGCTCTTTGGATTTTTCCCAAATCCTGGTTTTTAAACAATTTGAGAAAATTTTTGTATACGCCTCGTCGGACAGAAAAATGTTTCAGCTGCTCAAAGCATTCTTTAGTACTGTTTTTAAAACAGCTAATAGCTGTTGTGATTGACGAAAAAAATCAGAAAAAGAAAAAGCTTAAACTTTTGTTACGTACTTTAAGCAACAATCATCATAGTTGTACAGTATTTAGTGTAGAAATGTATGAAGGCATACGTTTACAACAATCTAATGTATTTCAGTTTGAAGCTTGTTATTTCTTCGATTTTCTTGTATGAAAACTATTCCCGGTCTCCCCATAGTTACACCATTGTACTTCACTTCACTTCTGCCACACGTTAAACCCACTGTATGCGTTAAGTATTTTGCCAATAAGTCTATTAAACTTAAGGGTTTGAAACAACATACTATAGCTTATTTTGTAGCCCTTTCAATTCTGCATTTTTCTCAATACAAACTATTCTTCAATTTTTGTGAAAGAAACTGTGATTATTTTTATATATCACTACACTGTAAGGTTGGAAATTATTTATGGAAAATGCTCGGCGAATTTCAAAGAGTACATATGGGAATTCCGTGGGGATTTTCCAGTTTATAGAAAATCGAATTTCCAACAATCTAGAAAATCGCC